GACCGAATTTATGACAAGAATTTGTGCTCCAGTCCCTAGAGCTAAGGTAATACATGGAAGACCTTACCATCTAGAAAGCCAGCCTTAAGGAGAAAACTTAAAAAAGCGAGCGAAAAGAAGATTGGGCCAGTCTCTACCAGAAATCCCCAGATGAACTGCAGGCTACCCAGTCGTGCTTTGCATTGGAGGGTAAATATTTCTCGTCCTCTTAAGGAGAATAATTTGCAATAATTTAATTTAGAAAGGCGCATTTTTTTGACTTGTTTTCGAGCCCAGCTTGATATGCGTGAAGAAAGCTATCAGTTTCACACAGAACTCGGATATGAGGAAAACAGATGGATAAATTCCCTTTTAAATCAACTGTGACTAAGGAAGATAACACCTTGAGGTGGTGCCAGAAAACGGCGAGAAACTTTACGCGTAGAATATAAGCTGATGACGTCGTTTCCTCTTCCGCTCCATTTGCGCTAATCTAGTTTAGCAAATGAACGTCTTTCTAAAACTAACGCTCGCATAAGTGTTTGCTTTAAACACAACAAAAGAGGGATATGTTTGCGCCACATCGAGAGAAATCGAACTTTCGCTTAGATCAATAATTTTCTCTCTACAGATATATTTTGTGGGCACTCGCCGAGGAAGCGATAACTTTCCTGTTCGTGGAACGGGAACGCTGTCACTAGGATTCAGTTATGGATAAAGCGTTACTTGGGGACAGAGAGTTAAACATCGTTTACTTTGAAAAAATGGAATGCACTGCGTCTAAAATTGAAACATCTATCTGTGGCAGTTAAAAAAATTGAGAGGCAATTTCTAAGATCAAATGAAATGAAGAGATTTGTGGAGACAACTCCTCGAACAATAAGATATGATGGCAATAGTAATTCTGAAGATATGGTCGCGGTGATGCTTGTAAAAAAGCAGAAAATTGATACTAAGAAATTTTCAAGCAGCGCACACTCTTCTGGCGTCCTGGTAAGTTCCATACTCGTATTGACAAAAAATATACGAAGAGGATTGCCCGCAAATAACTGACGGGATTCTCATTATATCTAAACAACTCAAGCCAGTTCTAGAAGAGGAACGATATGAATTGCTGTTGCGTTGAAAAGCCAGCAGAATCCCGATATCGTAGGGTGCTAAAAAAAACCACATCGTTGGTAGAGTTCTTTTAGGCTCCCAATTTATTTCTTTACTGGCTATCACACTCTTCACCTATTCAAACTTTTGTCAACTTTGGAGAATATTACTACATAAGCTTTTCCTAATATTTACATTGTCTCTCCCTTGAAAGCTTATTTCGATTACATTACCAAGCAATTTATTACAAAAATAAAATATAAAAATATTAAATAAAATTTTCATCGTAAGACCTTTTTGTTGGAAAAATTCCTGTTCAATCTCATGGCGACCCGACCAATTTTTGACGTGTGATTGTCGGTTAGTACAACGTGAATCGGTTGAGAGGATCTCAATCATCGTGCATCTGTGAGACTGTCTTTTGAATGATGATTTGATCAGTTTGAGTTAGTAGCCGCATGGTAAGGCTAGAATCTAGTCTGAATCTCTCAGCTCGAAAGCGTGAACGGCTTTAGAGCCGCGCGAGGGCATGGGACAGAGGAAGGGGAAACACACCCGCGTTAATGATACTGTCCGCGAACTCTTAACTAGGATTGCCTTACAGGTTTCTTCTCATTAATGTCGGAGTTGGATTCGTTATTAGAAGCGCTGAGTGATGCGATCCGCGGAAGCAGAATAGTGATGTTTGTTACTCTGATCCATCGCTTGCAACCCATTATATCTAAATTGTTTGAGTTATAAGCTATCAAGGATAGCTTGAGAACTCTAGTTTCTGCTAGATCATAAGCCTTGGTGTCATAATCAGAATCGGAAAAAATTGCACCGTTCTGATTTTTCCGACTCAGATTCCGTCGAGCTTTTGAGTCCGCTTTCTATTTTCACCGGGTCGGAGGTAGCTCACTAGTACCGAGATCTTCCACGGCCAAGCGATTGAAAGGTCTAAGTTCAATTACAATCACATGATAGGATCTGGGAACGAGATTAGGTCAGAAGCGCTCTAACGACTTCGTCTATAATTCCGACCCCGTCTCCGTTGTCAGTGGATCCAGCCTAACGGCTGTGGAGACATTAATCATACAATGAATATAACGAATGGTTTTTTCGGCTGAAGGTGGCACTGTGAGAGGAAAACACCTTCTCCAGGCATGAAAAATTATGACTCGACCAGCTGTCAAGCCCAGACCTTACTAGCCCACAGTCCCCCGCCCTTACAACCCGGCCATCCCCACCGCGTCTCCCAGTGAGTGATAATCATTGAGGTGTCTTTCCCAAGAACACAACATATACAACTTCTTTCCCAGGGTTTCCCGGCTAATCCCTTAAAATTGTGAAAGAGCACATATTTCAGATTTTTTATCTATCCAGGATGTTGTGATTGCTAGAGTGCTTTTAGTTCCGGTTTCATCACGGAGTTGCGTCTTTGGAGCCGTAAATCCGGAATTTAAAACAAGAACATTTTATCTGAATACATTACACACTTACAATCAGCTATAGTTTTAGAAAACGTTCAACTATTAGGCAAGAGTCTTAATTTGGGCAAAAATCAAACTCATGACACCGATGTCAGTTGAATTGCTCATAATTATTGTATTATTGATATTGTACACGTTGGAGGAAAGTGAGACGCGATAGGAACTTTTAAACACTGTTTTGACAACGCAAGACACGAGGCATATTGGAGACAAAACAGCGCCTCGTTGGAGTAAATTTCTATTTATCTGCTGTTACCTTCAGCAAATGGCTTTTCTCAGGAGATAGGAGACTGGCTTCTTGTTTCAGTCAAGTTTTTATTGTGCGTTTGACCGGATCAAAAGCTTCCACCTTACGAGAGGTGAAATACAGTGTGCACACATACGCTTGTTGTCGCGGTAGTCTGCGCACGGTGTGAAAATGAAAGATCTAGGTCAAGTGTTAAAACAAGTTGGACGAGGGAGAGACGTGATGATGCTCGCCATATGAGCACTGGAATGCGGAAATTTCACTCAAATAAAATACGTTTACATGAAAAAACTTACCCGAGATCCTTCTAGAGAACTTAACCTCAACTGAATTTTTGTCAAGCGGACAGTGGGTGTCTCTTTCAACCTTTCTAATCGCGAGATATGCACCTTAGTTCCACATTACAAAACAAATTGATAAACAACAACTGTAACATTTTTTTTTTCGACTTTGTGCGCTAAAATAGTTGCCAGCTGCGGTAATAACCGTACGTGAAAAAAAGTTTTGAGGGACAATTTCGAGTAGTCGCTTACCTAAGAAGTTTGTTTGAGCGTCAGAGTTCATTCTTTCACCAGCTTTTCCAAGAATTGGTTGCGCAAGAATCTTGAATTAAAGTTGCTAGGTGCCTTCGGCCCAAACAATAAATATTTTCCTTGTCATAGTTTCGCTTGGATGCATTTTCTATTGTAGCAACTAAAGTATCGTCGAAGCTTCATTGCTCTCCAAGTAGATTCACCACTTTGTTGCCACATGGATTAGAACACTAACCTCGTTTATCATCTTTCATATCAATTTTTTGTTCTTAATTTCGAATTTTTCAATCAGTTTCAATTTCCTGCCCTTACTGTACGGATTTAACTGACAGGCTCTCCGCCAATAAAAATAAAGCATGCATGTCAGTTGCTGCCTCATCCAGCGTAAACAAATAAGGCATTGATGTTCGCCCCCCTTATTGTGTGTATTAAAGTAATTCGCGCCCACGAAAAACACTTTAGCTTACATAAACAAAACAAACGAGACATGTAATAGTTAATGTAATGGATATTGCAATTGATCGAATGCCATTTCAAACAGCTAAGGACATGTCCTTTGAAGGAAAACATGGTGCAGTGGTCAAGTTGAGCAACACTCGAGTGAATATCTTTTCGACTTCTTACAATAATGCGAACAATTTTGTTTACTTTAATTTGATTAGGAAACTGATCGATTCCAATAATCATAAAATGTAAACAAAATCAGACAAAAGACGTCACTTGTTGGATAAGACACCGTCGATCAGAGCACAAAGTCTATAAGGAAATTACTTCGCAGTAAAAATTCCATTTCGCAACGAGAAAGGTTCGAACACTTCTATAGTGCGAAGCAAGCTTGAAAAAATTCAGGCAAAGCAGGAGGAACAAAAAACGTGAGTACAATCATTTTGCATCCTTATTTTAAATTGAATTCTTAGTGATTGTGCAAAAAAATTATATCTCGTTTTCACAGAAGAATTGTAGAGTAAGCAAATAGTTCCATAAACCATCGTTATGATTCCACCGCCGGCAGAGAGTATCAATTCAAACGTTTGAAAAAGTAAGAGATTGTTTCATACGCGTACTGAAAGAGACGACGTAATCTAAAACGGCTTCTGATAACCTAATGATGGTACAAAGCGCGGTTGTTCGACATGTGTGCTTCACCTATGGCGATTAGTTTCGAGTGGTCCCCATTATCGACCTCGTCAGTCTTAATCAAGTTCGCCAGAAAATGATGATGAAATTTCGAGCCCAATGAAAGAAAATTTCATTTCCAAACGATAGCGGGAAAGTACTCTCTAATACAGCGGAACTTTGATCTTTTAATGATAAGTCACACGGGGGTGTGACTCGGGTTTAATGACATTTCTCGTGAGTTCTTTAAATAGAAAAAATACCATAGAGTTTGAGGGGTGAACCATAAGATACACGGGTGTTAAAAGGTGGGCGTTTGTTTGATTTTGGCATCACTGCACTTTCGAAAGCGATGTGAACGACGAATTGACAGTAAAAACGTACTTACTCACGAGGCGATTTCAGTAACAGCTTGAGGAAGTAAGTTTTTCGTTTCTCAAGGGAATAGGATTGTATCAACGTCAAAAAGCTTCCTGACTGACGGAACCTTGGGGCGATTACAAAAAACATAGAAAATTTCGAAAGCATAAGTGCGACAGAGAATCTCCAATTACTGTTAGCCTTGATATCAAACAGAATGAAGTCGGGTAGGTTCCATTTAGCACCGACACTTTCA